TATATATATATATATGTATATATGTATATATATATATATATGTATATATAGCCTCTTTAAATGCTGTATATATATGTGTGTGTGTGTGTGTGTGTGTGTCTTTAAATGATAACATATAAGGTAGATGGTCTTAACTCTCCATTGTGGCAATTGCAATACAGAAAACAAGACCCAGATGTACTCAGCTTCCTCATCTTTGACAAAGGAGCCAACCATCCTCAGTGGAGGAAAGATAGTCTCTTCAATAAATGGTGTTGGAGAAGCTGGATTTCAAACAGTCAACAGAACTACAAGCCCATAGAATGGGAAGGATTTGTGCCAGTTACTCTTCTGGTAGAGGAATAGTATCCAGAATATATATAGAAGTCAAAAAAAGTAATTCCCTGAAAACAAATGACTCAGTAAAGAGTAGGCAAATGAACTCAATAGTTATGTCTGAAAAGAAGACATACAGCCAATATGTACATGAAAGAAAATGTTCACTGTCTATAATTATCAAGGAAATACAAATTATAGTAACTCTTACATTACATTTTACCTCAGAATGGCTGTCAAGAACACACACACACACACACACACACACACACACACACACACACACAAATGCCAACGAAGATGTGGGAGAAAAAGAACCCTTCTGCACTACTAGGAATGTAAACTAGTATCACTTCTACAGAAATACAAATAGGGCTCCTCAAAAAAGTAAAAATAAAAATTCCATTTGATTTAACTCTTCCTTTCTTTTGTATATTCCCCCCAAATTAAACACATCATACTATACTGAAACATACACATCTATGTTTATAGCAACATAACTCACAATGGCTAGGCTCTGGAAATAGCCTAGATCCCTGTCAAGAGAAAAACTATTACAGAAAATGTGGTATGTATATACAGTGGAATAGAATTCAGCCATAAAAATAGTGAAATCATGTCATTTGTAGGAAAATGGATGGAATGTGAGGCCATAATGCTAAGCAAGGTCAAACACAAGAAGTCAAACTCAAAATATAAATAAAGTAATACAGTAAAGGTGAAATGGTAGGAAACAATAAGACAGACTTCTGGAGATGGGAAAGGGGAAGGAGGAAGGAGGAGGTAAGGGAGACGAGGGTAAAAAGGCAAAAATGATTAAGGTGTGTTATATGCATTGACCAATTCTCCAAAATACCACTGTTCTATGTTGCAAACATATAAGAATAAAAAAGAACATACATAGGTTTATGTAAGTAATGAAATAAAATTAATAATTAACATCAGGTATTAGATTATATATGTACACTATATGCTGTAAATGCTTTCTACCGTGTACATCACACTGCAATATACATTCAAAAGTTCTGTAGATTTATAAGGAGGATAGTAGAATTCTTATTAAATGTTAGTTGTTTCTAGTGTGTTATTCAGTATTTCACTGTTGTGGCAGACTTGTGATTTATAGTGTTACAGCTCTTAGTGGTTTAGCGGGATCAGGCCAAGAAGAATTGAGAACATACCCAGAGGTTGGAGGAGAGTGTACAGTTGTAGTATGCTGGGGTACTGACTAGGCATTTCTCCACAAAGCAATCAGTCCAGACCTGGCAGTGAACAGGGAATATGGATCAAGGGAAAAGAGGCACAGATACAGGAGCAAGGCATTTAACATCATCAGTTCATTGGTTGAGGAAGTTACATTTGGTTTACACGATCGGATAGAAAATTACACAGGAGGGCCAGGAATTTAGCTTAGTGGTTCCGCCACCTGCCTTCCAAGCACAAGGACCCAAGTTCAATCCCTGGTACCAAAAAAAGGAAATCACACAGGCGCTCATCTCATTTACCTTTACTGAGAACAAAAGACCGTGATGGAGGATGTGTTTTAGGGGTGGGAGGGGCATGATCTGGGAGTGGCTCTTAGGTTAGCTAGCCTCAGGAAAAAAAACTTTGTTCAGAAATCATTTTTCTGGCTCAATACAACTGTGGCTGATGTGGTCAATACAGCAGTGAGAATAAAGATAGAAACATTTATGTCTTGGATATCCTCTCAGAATGCATGTGATTATGTTTTTGGTACACGAAGAAGAAAAAGTTTTGGATTCATATAGCTTCTTTGCCTTATGTTAGAAGTCTTTGTAAATGCCTTTATATGAAAATTCACATTCTTTCTTATGAGTGTGTTATAATGCTTTCATTACACGTATTAATTTCTCAAATGGTTTTAAGCCACTTACGTTTTATTACTTTTGATGACTACTTCAGATTAAACTTCTTAATGTTTCGTCCTCCAACAGATCATTGATAACTGGAAGCATCATAAAACAAAAGTGGCTTCATATTGGCTCATAAAATTGGACTCTGTAAAACAGCGAAAAGTAAGTAATGCTTAAAAACAAGTTTGCCCTTGTGGATTATGTACTAAGCTAAGGTTGGTATTCCACATTCATAGTCAAACCTTATACATGCACATTTATTTACTTCTTCTATAAATGTTCACTGAACACCTACTATTTTGGGCATTGTTTTAGATTCGGAGGATAAAAAAGTGAATAAAAAATCCATGCTGTCATTGAACTTACATCCTAGTTAAGATGTTTGATAAAAATCTGTAATAGAATAAAAGTAGTATAAAGTAGTACTGTATGTTGAAAAATAAGGCTGATAAAAATAACATCTGAGCAGAGACAAATGAAATAAGATTAATGCTTTGCTGACATCTGTATATATAATGTGTCAGGCAGAAGGAAGAGTAAAACCAAAGATTCAAAAAATACCTCCAAAGCCTTTTCTTCTTCTTGAGGTAGAAATTACAGCTTGTTTTGCTGAATGAGTGATATGGTAGTGGTAAGAGATGAGGTTAAGCAGATAGGATTCAGATTGCAACTTTATGAAAAGATTTTAGATTTTATGCTAAGGGGTGGGAAGCCACTGGAAAATTTTGAGAAGAGTTTCTCATTCTAGTACTGGGGATTGAACTGAAGACCTCATGGATGCTAAGCAGTACGACTGAGCTATATCCCAGCCCTGGTTTATAATATCTTTTTATGAAAAATAAAAATTTCATAACTGGGTAATAAGAGAGTAACAATAGTTAATACATTATGCAATCATTATCTTCAAAGTAGTTGTTCAGAGTACGAGACATAGGAAAAAATTATTTTCTCTTACAAAGAAGAAGCAAACAGGTAATAGCACAAAACTTTCTTTTCAACAAAGAGAAATTTACTATAGCAGCATGATTCATAATAACTAGATCTTGAATACATCAGATGAATGGATAAGGAAAATGTATTTATATGCACAATGGAGTATTTATACACTCTGCAGAAAGAAAGATAAGCTTGAGAAATATAGGTAAATGGGTACAACTTTGAAACATAATGTGAAGTGAAATGAGTCAGGCATACAAGCTCAAATATTACATGGTTTATTTTATATGAGAAAATAGAAGAAAAATAGATAAATAGGAAGTAGGGAGAAGTTCAAATAATTCTCCAGATTCCTTTCATTTATAACTCTTTTTTTTCCTCTCATTGAGTTTATTGGTACATTTTAGGTATGCAGTACAGTTACATTCATTGTTGGGATCTTGTACCTTTACATTGACAGGCCTTGGTTCTCATTTTTTCCCCTTATCCCTGCCCTCCCTTCACCTCCTCCTCCCTTCCCTATTGACAAAAACTTTTCCATTTTTTTCATTTTCTCATCTTGTTTTTCTTTTCCCTTATTTCTTAAAAAAACAGGTGAACTACCTACTTGAGGAGAGTAGAATTTAGGGAGAGAGAATGTGGCATAATAGAATTAGAGGCTAACTAGAAGATTTTTAGGGTAATTAAGGCAAGAACTAATAGATGCTTAGCTAAACTGGTTATTGAATGGGTGAATGCTATAGAAAGTATAAATGGCAGGGTTTTATTGGTGCTGTTTTGTTTTGATTTTGGATACACTATGTTGGATATACGTACTGGTGAGACATCCAAGTGCAGATGATGAATGAGTAGTTACACTTTTGAGTGAGTTCATAGCTGAGGTTGGGTATGGAGATAAAAATTTAGGAGTCTTTAAGATATTTAAAGCCATGAACTAGGTGAGATTACCTAGAGAGTAAATGTAGTTAGAAGAGAAAGGAGTTTGAAAGACTGGACTGTATGCTTCTTTACGTTGGTGTACTGATGTACAAATCAGAGAATGGAGGGCATTCATCCATGGAGACTGAGAAGGAGCAGTCAATGAGGTATAAAGAAAACTTGAGAACTGCTTGTCCTTGAGGCCAAGTACAGGAAGGGCAGAGTACTCAGCTGTGGTAGATGCTGCTTCTAGGGGTGGGGACTAAGAACTCTCTGTTGTTTTTTTTTTTTTTGCCAACGTGGACGTTTGGGGGACCTCATTCATAACAAACTCAGAGGAATGAGTGATACGTAATGAAACTTGATCCTGCAGCCTCAATCTATGAAAAGTAGAGAGGAAAAAACCACAGCTAGTGAGTTTTCCTATAGAGAGGGGGAAAGGGAAATGTGATAATTGGAGAGGAATAGGAATATGGACTAGTAGGAAAGTTTTTTTTCTTATTGTAAGATGAACATATTATCCATTTTTGACCTGATGAGAATGATCTTGAAGAGAGGAGTAGCACAGGAAAGAGGGATGATAAAGGAATTCTTAGGTAAACTGGGAGATTTGTCCTAACCAAGAGCATCTGTTCTCATTGTAGGAAGAGCAAAGTGTATGGTAGTATGGTGGGAAGATATGAAGGTTTTCCTCTGGTGGGAGATTCAGGAGAGAGGAAAAGGTTTGTAACAGCTGTCATGAAGAGCTGATGAGGGAGCTCCCAGAACCCCAAGGCACCTGTCAGATCCCCTGGAACCCTAGTTTTTAGACATATGCTATTAAAGTGGCTTTAGTGAAGTTGTCATGTTACTTTAACAATACAAGCTACCATTTACCCTTCTTAGGATTTATTGTTAATGATATGAAACTTGGCCTCTATCAGATTATGACTTTCAGATTACATATTTAAAGTAAACTGATTGCACTGTTGTGTATTAGCAAGCTCAGCAGATAGTTAGTGTTCTTCACATGCAAATACAGTGCCACTGTTGATCAAGGGGTGTCCAGCCTGGTAACAGAGATCAATTGTAAAACACATTGTAAATCCTGAGTAAATGTTTGCGCAGTTATTAACTCTGGCCTTGACCGATCCAAGTAGGGACATTTTATTAGAATTGGAATCCTGAATTTTCTCAAGTCCATACTGTTTTTATAATCTAGAAGCACAAGAAGAGTATAGGTAAATTGACAATTAAATTGAGAGTCCAGAATAGACTCCATTGTTTTTAAAATATTAAAACATGGTAAGTATGGCATTTCAAATCATTCAGTAAAGATGATTTTTTCCAGTAAGTGATACTGAACAGTGGATTTTCTATTTGTAAAACGTTAAGTTGGAACTTATTTCTCCTCATATATGAAATAAATTCTGTGCACATTACAGTTTGAAATTATCAAAGATTTTTTTAAATACAAAAATGGTATGTTTCTAATCTTAGAGTGAGGAAAAGACATCTTTAGGAAAAGACCTAAAACCTAGAAAGCTTAAAGGAAAAGATTGACAGGCTTGATTATATAAGAACCTACGAGTGGCCTAAGACATCTTAAATCGTTATAAGCAGAGATAATGAGAGAAATAGGGCTGGTGGAGCGGTGGTTTGAGGGAGACAGACATTTGCTGTACATAAAATGAAAAGTAATTCCAGTAAACCTATACTTTCTGCAGTCAGTCAGCAAAAGACAAACTGTCCTTTAAATATTAATAAAATAGCTAAACATATTAAAAAGACATGAAAAGTCAATTTATGGGTCTTCAAGTAGCCAATTAGCACGTAAACAGATCCTTGGTTTCACTAATGATGAAGTAAAACCATCATATTGGCAAAATTAATAAGATAGATAATATCCAGGGATGGGAAGATTATGGATTACAGGGCCTTTCCTGTACTATTAGAAGCTGAAGACATTGGTGTACCTACTTGGAAAGGTAATGTGCAATACCCATTAAATTACGGATGTTCACAGCCTTATGACTTAGCAAAAATCTATTCTAGCATTCTGTCTTAAAGAATTATAGCCTGAATATATAAAAGATTTCTGTACATGCGCATTCATTGTAGTGGTATTTATGAAAGCAAAACACTTAAACATCTACTACTACTTAAACATCTCTCGGTAGATTTATGGTTAAGTAAATTTTAGCACATCCATATAATTTGGTCGCATTCAGTTGAATACTGTCCCAGAATTGTATATCTTAACCTAAGGTATAACACAAGACTATGACTTGTTACCTGTGCAACAAAAATACACAAAACTTCACTTATCATGAATGAATTGAAAGCAAGCAAATAGTCTCGGGAAGGTGGTGAGTCCATCTGATCTCGGGTGCCCCTTTTCGGGTAGCTGCCAACTATATGTGGTCCAAGTTAGTACAGAGGGAGCCTTTCAGATTTGGAGGCCCTTTTGTTTTTATTCTTTATTCGCCTGTGTGACTGACATACATTCCTCAGATAAAGTAAAAATTCTAGTTTTATGAACTATGAGCTCTGTCTCACAGAACTTTTTAAGGATGGAAATGTTTTGTATTTCTGGCTGGTGTCCAATACAGCAAGTATTGGCCACATGGGGCTACTGAATACTTGAAATGTGGCTATTGTTCCTGGAAGCTGGATTTGCAATTGACTTGTAATTAATTAAAATTTAAATGTAGAGAGCCAGCTGTGTTTAGTACTTGTACATTTGACCATTTGGATCTACACAGAGCAGGTACAGTCTTCTAAAAATGGAGATAAAGACTTTCTCATTTACCTTCCTGCTTATAAATTCAGAAGGTTTGTGAGAATTTCCAGTAAAATAAGTATTGCTGTGGGCATCTCAAAGAAATAGGGACTCTCTTCTAAACCATCCTAAGAAGATATTAGGATATTAAGCTAGTTACACAATAATATATATTTTTCCATTTTAATCTACATATGTAAGTGTACTTGTCTAGATTTATTGAGCAGGGGGAAGAAGTAGTAACATTGATGTCCTTTTTTTCTTTTTTGGTGTGTATTTCTGTATATTTTTTCAAATTAGAATGATCTTTTTAAGAATGACAGAGACACGGGTATCTCTGGAAAGGGGCTGGTGAAGTAAGGGGGATGGGTTTTGTCTTTGTGTCCCCAGCCATAATCTCAGGTTGTGATAGGAGGAAGGCAAAGAGGCAAAGAACACCCCTCCTGGTCTCAAGACCTTTCCCTGGCTGTCCTTGCTGCCTAGAATCCCTCCTTCCCACTCTCGTATACCACTCTTCTGGAAGGTTCCCTTCCACCCACTTTGTGAA